TTGGAAGAGGTCTTATATTGTTCTGTGTACAATCCTTGTTTTATTGAATTTTTCGAGTTTCACCTGTATTGACTATATCAATAAGGTCTCTTATTGAATCACTCTCAGTGGAAATAAATGTAATCTTTAGAGTAGCACAGCATTCTTGATTAGATTGGGTGAACAAACCAAGCAACTCTGGAGATAGGATGAGAGACCAGTTTCAAGTACATTCATAGTTCTGCATCCAGTTCCAGTTCCAGTTCCTGTGAATTTGATCGTTCCCAGAATGCAGCAGCAAGATACATTGAATGTCTTTGGGTAATTAATGAAAGATAATCCAATCTGATATTAACTGACGATGGTGCTCATTATCTGATAATACCTGGTTGGGTAATTAAATGTGTGCAAGCAAACAGCCAAGTTCAGAGAGCAACAAGGATTCCACAGTTCAACCTTGATATTCTATTGGAACTTTGGATAATTACCTGGGTTTTTTTTTTTTGCATCTATTAGAAGTCAGTGTCATTAAGGCTCTGTTGACCTCTGGAGAGATTATAGAACAGTGTTTATCAAAACAGGTGTGGGGAAGATGCTAGAGATTGATCTTTCCCTAGAAATTAAAACATTAACTTGGTTTCCTTTTCTCTTAAATGATTTCTTCTTAATTGATATTCCAGGAAGTAGTTAGTAGATTGACCTCCTTAGAACAAAAAGTAGAAAAGAGAATAATAGGTAACCTTTTAAAGTGGAACATTGGTTGTTAGATCCCCAGTCATTCTGTTGATGACTCTCATCAATTTGAAATGAATCAGAAGGAGTCTGGTAACACCTTTTCCATTAACCATTTTTATTAAAAGGGCAGCATATGCTCTTGCTAGCTGGAGCCCAGTTCTTTAGATGCATAGAGTGGCTGGGACACAGGATTTTAAAAAAGGGCAGAGGTGAAAGAAGTGGTTATGCAGATGTTGGACACGTGAGAAAGCCAACAAATACCCCATCAAATAGCATTTGTAATGTATTAAAAATCCACTCCTGCGCTTAGGCAATAAAAATCAAAAGTACACATATAGACTGGGTGAATCCAGGCTCAATAGAAGTAACTGTGGGAGGGATCTTGGAGTCTTAGTGGGCAACCAGCTAAATATGAGCCAGCAGTGTGCAGCAGCACCCAAAAAAGCTAATGCAATCCTAAATTGCATTAACGGAGGGATACAATCGAGATCAAGTGAGGTACTAATACCACTCTATAAAGCCTTAGTAAGACCACACCTAAAGTACTGCATCCAGTTTTGTTCACCACATTATAAAAAAAGATGTTGAGACTCTAGAAAAAGTACAGAGAAGAGCAACCAGGATGATTAGGGGACTGGAGACGAAAACATATGAAGAATGGTTACAGGAACTGGGCTTGGCTAGTCTAGTGAAGAGAAGGACCAGGGGAGACATGATAGCTGTCCTCCAATTTTTGAGGGGCTGCCACAGAGAGGAAGGGGTCAAGCTATTTTCTAAAGTGCCTGTAGGCCAGGCAAGGAATAATGGATGGAAACTGAACAAGGAGAGATTTAACCTGGAAATGAGAAACTTTCTGACAGTGAGAACAACCAACCAATGGAACAGCTTGCCCTCAGAAGTTGTAGGAGCATCATCACTTGAGACTTTCAAGAAGAGACTGCCATTTGCCAGAAATGGTGTAGGGTCTCCCGCTTGGGCGGGTGTGTGTGTGGACTAGATGACCTACAAGGTCCCTTCCAACTCTAATTATCTGTCTGTTAAGCACTCTGACCTTTCAATGTTGGAGTGATTGACAATCTGTTGCACTATAATAGTGATGCCATTTCATTGTTCTAAAACAGCCACCTTGAACTTGTTAATCAAATATCCTGGAAAGTTGAATGCTATTTTGTCTTTATTTGAGATCCTGATACCTAGCTCATATCCATTCACTCTTTGCCACAAAGTTTACCTGTTCGTTCAAAGTACAATTGAAAGGGGTATTGCTGACATGAAGGTGACACATTAGAAGAACGCATGTAGACTACCTTTTTTTTTAATGAAGTTGCTGGACTGGTGATGGTGATATAAATAAGGGGGAAAAATAAACCTCTGGGTTTATTGCAGTGTCTGCTTCCAGTTTAGCATCATGATTTGTTGCCTGTTTCAAGTTGGGTGATTATCTGTATGGGTGTGCCAGACTGGGCCAGAGAAATGTGCCATTATCCAGTATGATTTGTAGTGTACTAATAAAGCATCTGAATGGCAAGAATTGTAGGAGAGAACTAGTGGTGTTCTGGTTTTTGTGGTTTGGCTTTTAATAGGTCCTTCCTGATCATTGATTTGGCTCCATTGATCTGTTTAGTGATCTCACTGGATAAGTAGTTCAGTCTTATGAATGCCTGGATGAACTCTATCCATTGACCATTTCTGTCAAGCGGGTCAGAAAGAATTTAGTTGTAACAAAGAACCTGGTTATAGATTTGGTAGTGTGTTCTGAGTGGAAGTATGCATGGAGATTTGTAGATTTTGTGTATAATGGGGTGTTCGTGTATCCATTCCTCAGTTTTGCTGTGATATCAAGGAAATGGGTTGTTGTTCTATAGAAAGGGTGACATTGATGGTGGGTGGAAGTTATGGTCACAATGAAATGAGGGATTCTTTTTCGTATCCAAATGACATCAAAGAATCTCAGGAAATGAAAGTTGAAAAAGTGTTGTTCTAAATCAGAGATAAATTTGTTTTCTTTACAGGAGGAAAACTTGCTTACAATCCAACACACATTAATAGTTATATTTTCCCTTGGGAAGATTAAGTTTCCACTCTGAAGCAGAAACATTTTTACCATGCTAACCTCATCAAGTGTTTACCAAGGAAACCCTTCTTTGTCTGTACTGACTTTATTTTTGTAAACGGCTTCATTGTTCAAGTCATAATATTTTACTTTTTGTATAGGTTTTATTCAGCGTACCCTATAGCAACTACTGCTTTACTGATTTTATTTCTTGGTTTTTCTTACTTCTGTAAATTGGAATGTACCTGCTAAGAAAACCTGTCTTTTGGTTCTTGTTTATTTCATTGAAAAACTACCTTATTCCTACATCTGCTTCAAAAATCACTCTAAATTATTAGAATATTGTTTTTCCACATTTTTTCTTCTAATACAATATGAATTATTTATTTATTTTAAAGATAGTTCAGAACAGCAACAGATAATGGAAATTTCTATATCGAATTGTCATATCAGAAACTTTCGCAGGTCCCTTTAGGATAGGTCAGGGGTGTCAAATTGGTGGCCCATGGACTAGATGCATCATGCACAGGCCACACCCAACTCAGCTCATGAAACGTCATGTGATGGTAATGTGATGCGGTCAGTTTTTGGTACCTGTGTGATAGATGATTCTATCAGAAGGTGACCCATATAAATCTGCCTATCTCTCAATTGTATCTTGATTTCTTCTCCTTTCTCTTGTCCATAGCTTCACCTATTTTTATATTTTTCAATGGCCAAGGTGGATCCCGCACAACTCCCTGCAAGAAGTTGTAAATGAAAAAATGGCACCTTCACCACCCACAACTGCCAGTAGCTTATGCAGCAAGCTTATTTCAACAGGAATAGTCTTTCTATAATTAAGTGCGACTGAATAATTTAAGAAGATGAGGTTTGTAGAACAAAACATGTAACAACCTTTTTTGTCCCCTTGTCATTATTATAGCATTTCAGTCTACCTAATGCAAGGAACGGACTGTTAGCCTGTAATGTTGAATGTGAAAACGTTGTTTATATTTCCGGGGCCAAATGTCAATGCCCTATAGAATTTTTGTTCTTATCTACTGAACAGTAGAAAAAGAATCAATTGTGCAAACCAAAGAAATAAGTGTATATTTGAATAGTTGTCACAACAAATTACAGCATGAGTGAGACAACCCAAAGGAAACAAAAAAGCAAACATTATTAGTATAGAAAAAATGATAAAGTTTTGCCTAAAATCTAAAATAGCCCAATGCTGCAACTCATACCATGGGAATAAGAACAGCATGACAGAACATGATTAAACACAGAACCAGCAACTGGGAAGAAAGATATGTTAGCTACAATGGTTGAAGGGGACTTTGAGATAACAGCAAAACATAACTTTGCTACAGATGGCCAAACTTTGCAGTTAATAAGAGATGGTAAAAATTGAGAGATGCCTAACTTTGCAACTGATTGTTGGACTTTATTTTTATGTGAGTAAGGGAATTTTTAGAAAAAAGTTATTTCCTTGAAACTTGAAGATTGAATTATGAAGGTTGAGAGTGAGTGAATAATTAGGAAGAATAAGCTAATACCAAATAGTCAGTGAAGTATACACAATTTAAGTGCACAAGGTTTAAAAAAATGTGGCCTCTGATTTCTGAAGTCCAAGAGACTCATTTACCTTGAAGATTAAGAATGGAAAGTTCATCCCACTGTTAGGTTTTATTATACAGAATTCTTGCTTTGTTTTTATGATATTAGTGAGTTTTGCTTGACAAAATAATGTGTTTTAATAAGTTTATTTTTTAATAAATTGAACTGTAACTTATTTCTAATTTGCTTTTGTCATTATTTTCATTTGTAGGTCTTATTCTATATAACATTGTTTAACACCTAATAATATTAAATCCTTTAATTTTAGGATTCCAGCATTTTATAAAATTTTCATAAAATAATTTCAGGTAGCATTCCTCATTGCATCACTGCATGTCCAATAAAGATTAACAAAACTTTTTTGTACTGTAATTGTTACAACAAAATACACTTTAATTCCTTCTTTTGGTGAAAGATTTATTATTTGGATTACAGCAAATGTTTTCAAAGTGCTTCTGGAAAATTCTGGAGAACTCATGAGACATAGAAACTTAGAAGATATAGCTTGCATTCTACATGTATATTGAATGCATTTTCCTAAACACAAAATGTATTCATATTTAGACGCTCTATGATAGAAATACAAATATGTCTTGACAGTTAAATTCGTGAGAAAAAAAAGATCCCTGGACATAGGAAATATGAAAAGTGCTGAATTATGCCAGTTATAAATGTATTACTATTCTATATTTTCTAGTTCTAACAAGTTTTTTTAAAACAAATGAATACAGTGGATAGGAAATAGATTGAGATGGATCCACGTTCAAATTTGCATTTGCAGATTTAAGAAAACCTTTGTTTATTTGCATGTGTACAGTATTTTAGGAGGGAAAAATACAATATAACATATACCAAAACAAACTAACATAGCCCATAATAAATTCATCTAGCTTTGGAATAATCTCTTGTCATTCTCTCATGTTTCTCAGACTTGTGCAAATACCTTCCAATCTTTTTATTCAGATAAGTGTTAAAACAGATGGCATACAGTTACTTTGGCCCATCACACTTTGTTCCCACCAGAAGAAAGGGGATATCTGAGACATGATAATCTATTTTTCAATATTCAGAACTTCCAGTAAAATCATCTAGCCTCACTGAATAGCAAGACTCTTGGAAATATTCTGAGGGCCCTGCTCTAGCTTCAGTGGATGAAAAACCTGAAGAAGTATAAGAGGAATCAATACAGCTATCTTTTCAGAAAACAGTTCTGAGCTAAACATTTCATTTCATATTCTTCTCAATCCAGTCTTTGAAAGGAATTGCTCGGGTGTAGCCAGAGTAAAGTTCTAGGCTGCATGTCTTGTCATAGCCCCAGCTCACTAAACCCATGAGATGCCAAATTAACTCAGAAGAAGATTTTCCTGGCAAAGGTATTGCAGCAATCCCTCCAGTCTCAGAAGGACAGATGTTAGAAGCTGCTGTGGGATGCTGCTTGGCACAAAACATACTGTCAGTGACACTGATTTGGATTCCATGTTCCTCGTATTGTTGCTCACACAGAAGGGAGTCCACCATCTGGACAGACCCGCTACGAATTGTATCATTCTTGTAGTTTGGGTCTGTAACATCAGTCAGGATCTTCCAACCGGTAATGACTATTTGCAAATCATCTGTAGGAGGATCGATATCACGTGCAGATGCTAGGCAGATGGGTTGGACATGGCTGCTGATTCTGGCTTTGTCCAGGAGCTTAATGATAGCTATATCAGAATCGAGCAATATAGGGTCGTAATTTGGGTGAACTATGATGGCTGAAATCTAGGAGAAATCCAAAACAGCAATATAAGAACTCACATGTTACATATGTTTTATCCTATTCATTTTAATATTGTATATGAAATCCCAGATCATCTCTAGCAGTCACTAACTGCTGTCACCTGGATCCATAGTTATAACAGTGGCTCCAAACCATGGATATCTTGGAATATAGCTATGCTTGATGGGAATTGCAACAGTTGGGTTCCCAAGGCAATTGGAAAATCTCAGAAGGTAGCTTGAATAAGATCCAACCGTAAATCGCAATGTTAAATCAAAACCAAAGGACTACAAACCTGACAATACTCAAGGGTAGAAAAAGGAAAATTATTCTGATAGAAATTTGCAGCATCTATTGCCCAGGTAAAGGCAGTAAAGTGTTTTTTAGTCCCAGAATGAAATAATTGTAAGAAATGTCTAAAGCAGTCACTTCCCTAATATACTGAATTATAAGGAAGAGGTACAAAAAAGAACAAAAAATTTTCTAATTTATATTATAACCTGCCTTAATAAAAATACTTTCAGCCATCTTATGGAGTTGATTTCCTAGTTTATTTATTGAAGTTGATGGCAACAACAGAACCTAGGTGTGATAGAGCTTATTGGTCTGTTTCTTTAAAATTTAATTAATCCACTAAGTGCTTTCGAAGCATTTTTAAAAATCCAGTAAATCAAGAAAAAAGTTAATACGAATCAACAGTAAAGGTGAAGAATATCTATCTATCAATATCTATCTATCTATCTATCTATCTATCTATCTATCTATCTATCTATCTATCTATCTAGTTAGCTATCATCTAGCTATCTGGCTATCATCTTATTATTATAAACAATTGTCTACAGATACTCCCGTCTCAGCCTGCTAATTGCAACTAGTTTAATGACATCAGTAAGGCTTATCTCTAAGTGACTGACCTGCGAGTTCTAGGCCACAAGTAACACCTGGAAGCCTTAGATATGGCCAACCAGAAGCTTCTAAAGACAGGTAACAAGTATAATTTTTATGGAACAATAAATTAAAATTACTTATTACCTGACTTGAAAGGAAACTTAGGTACTCTGTTTAAATTCAGGGAAATAGAAATATCAATGAAGTTTAGTTTTTGTTTTATTCATTCTGAGGTACTAAAGGCCTTAGCACTCATCTACCAAACACTTAACTCACCCGTAGATTCTGTATGATCTTCTCATCTCTATCCTCATCTCTGTAGAACTTGCCAAGAACAACTCTGATGTCTGCTGTTTTGAGCACAGTGACCTTCCCCAGATTGGTGACACAGTGTGCAGCCACAACAACTGTGCGTTCATTCAACAAAGCTCCGCTGCAAATCAGTATCCAAGTCCCTTTTCTGTGATTGGGAAACTTCACCCCATTAGGTCTCCGATAGATGGCTGCTTGCCATGGCCATCTGGTTATGGATGATTTGTGAAGTATAGTGTTTTCTGTCTTTCCGCAGACTGCCAAAGGAGAGGGAGAAGACAGAAATATGATTTTTTTTAATTAATAAAACAAAGTACGTAAAATCAATTGTATTAAATTATTAATTAAACTACCTGAGCCCAAGGGAAATTTTACCTTGCAGTAAAATTACATTATGTAAAATAAATCTGTTGGCTTTCTAAATGCTATCCAATTCTACCCATCCCCTCTCCTTTCCAGATTTCTTTCTTTCTTTGGCAAACCTTATTATATTCTTAGGCTAATGAAATATTCAGGACTTCCCAAAGTAGATTTTAAAGTCACATATTAAGCCTTGTTCTAAAAGATGAGAAACTTTCTTGATTGTTTAGACAGAAAAGTGGAATAGAAGCTTAACAACAAACAAAACAAAAATGGCCTTAGCTTTACTGAATATCTCTGGACGTGATCACATCAACCAAAAGAAAAGCCAATTTTGCATACTCTGTGAGTTGTCAAACCTCTAAACACTAAGTAATAGAGTCTTTTCTATTCTCACAGACAGTTTATTTCCATGGTATTGTACAAACCAATATAAATGAATATCTATACAGTAAACACATACATCCGAAAGGAAGAGAGTAATCAAGTTGTTGAGAATTAGGCATAATTTGCCTTTAACATTAATCCAGACAAAGTTAATATTTTAAAATCCTTTGATTTCTGTGCAAAAGGCAAGCAGAAAAGTGAACTTCTCTTTTTTTGAAATCAGAGAAGATTTAGAATGTTTCATCTCTGTTGAATTGGGCTCAATTTTATTTTTGCATATTAACATTTATTTTGACCAATGGGGGTATTTTCTAGTGAGCATTTCCTTTGGTTTGTCACAAGTGGCCCTCACTGCTCATGAAACATTCCTACATTCATTAAAAAGAGCCCTCAAATCTCTCCAAGTGTCGGAAAATTTACAAAAAATAAGATGATAATCCCCATTTATCAACTGCCTCCCTTTCAATGTGGATTTCTTCTGATGACAAAAAAGGTGACATCTTGTGGAAATGGCTCCTCATCTGTCCCTAAGACAATGGAGATGAACTAAAAGAGATTCTCTCTTTCTAACACATTCTGAAACTATAAATTTCAAGAAACTTAGCAGGAAGTGACGTTCCTATATATTTCACATCAGAATAAGGCCTGCTTTGGCCTCATTTCCAACCAACCTTCCCTTGCCAATGACCTTTCTTTTTTTCACAGGAACAAGCTTTTTTTTTTTTTTGCTTCCAAAATAGGTTGGATTGGCAGAAAAGGCTTGTTAACTGAGGGGAAAGCAAATCCCACTGAGAGAGTTGAATGGGTCCTGCTCTGTCTCACAATTGGCCAAAGCATTTTCAATGTCTATTCCTCTCAGATGTGAACTTGGTTGCTATTAATACATCCTTTCGGATAAAGATCTTTGAGCAGTTATTTTCCTCTAGCTGAAGATCTTTGAAGGATATCCTTATGTTCTGAGTTGCATAAGTGACAAACACTGAATAGAATTAACAGGAGCAACTCCCTGCTTCCCTCGCACTTGTAAAGAAGCAGCTTGTATTCGCTTGTGTGCATATTTGAATAATAGTTCTATTTGCTGGCCTACTAGTGGCATTCATGTTCTTCGTTTAAGAATGTCTAATCACTGAAAGAGAAAATCCTCAATAACTATTGTATAATGCACCTCATCACAGGCAATTGGACGTGAATTCCTTAGACCTGAACAATCTTGTTCCTTAAGGAATTTTCATTTAGAGAGCAATATTATTACTTATGGAATGGCGGCGTTGCCTAATGTTCTGTGTCTGATAACCGCACTCTTACTTGGAATGCACGAAGGGGCTCTCCCACTCCATTTTCCTGTTTTCAGACAGGTTCTTCGGCTGCTTCCCAAACGAAGGTAAAAATGAGAAATACAGTCATACTGCAGCTGCGTATGAAGATGATGGAAGCCTAGAGGCAATTCTCCAAATGGTAGTGAAGGTTTCTTGGTTGGATATGCCTCCAACTTCTGTTTGTTAAATGCAGACGAATAGAGTTGATGCAAGGGAGTCTCCCTGTTTTGTTCGTAGACAACATGGAATTATAATCAAGAAGCCGAAACCCTTTTTTTATATCTTTAGCTTTTACAGTATTGAAGTACAGTTTGGAATAAAGCATTATTACAAATAAGCTAATATTTATAATTACAATCCAGTGAAACTTTGCAGCCCATGGAGCCATTCAAGACTTTCCAGACTCTTAGTAAAATTCAGCATTCTCTTCTCCAAATATGATTAAGAGGCAAGGCCTAACAATAGAATGTTTAAGTAAGCAATCCAAATTCAGTCCATTGTCTTTCCGGTTAGCATTGTTGGGAAGCAGGGGTGGGATTCAAAATTTTTAACAACCGGTTCTGTGGGCATGGCTTAGGTGGTGGGCGTGGCTTGGTGGACATGGCTGGGTGGTCATGTTATTGGCTGGGTGTGGCCAACTCAATATCACTCACATCGAGGCACACATCTCCTCGCCTGGCCTCTCATGACTGTGGGGATGCTGCAACAGTTGTAAGTGTGAAAAATGGTCATCAGTTACTTTTTTCAGTGTCATTGTAACTTTGAATGGTCACTCCACACAAGCAAAGTACCAGCAAAGGAAGGGAAAAAAATTCCAGAAAAGTTCCTGAGACAGGAAGTCTAGTCCTGCCAAGAATGTAATAAGGGAGAGGCAGTTTCTGTAAGCAACACTAGAATGTTTCCTTCCTGCCTTCCTTACAGGATTAGGCCAGTAATTTCTTCTAACAACCGGTTCTCTGAACTGCTTAGAATATTAACAACCGGTTCTAGCGAATAGGTGTGAACTGGTAGAATCCCACCCCTGTTGGGAAGATGTGTCTGATACCTTGGAATTTCATTAGTAAAAGTATACTTAATATACTTATATAATACTTCTATATACTTAGATGTATGTACCAATAATTTCACTATACTTTCCAAGCTGACTTTAAGAGATATTAGACTGCTTTGCAAAGTGTGACCTCCTTTTGCAAAGGATTCATTAAAAAAGCACTGAAGCACTTACCAAGCAATTGTTAATATCAACAAAAAAAACTAAGAAGAGAATGAATCTACCATCTTTTCCACTATGGTGGACACACACACAGCACACACACAGAGGGAGGGAGGAAGGGAGGGGGAAGAGGAGAGAGAGAGGAGTATGTGTGAAATATTTGCACAACACAAATTCAATCCATTCTTGTATGGGGGTTGAAGGAATATTTTCCCACATGTAACTCTCCTCTGCACATATTTTTAATACGTGCAATAAAACCTGACTAAATCTAAAAAATGTACACAGTGCTAATAATTTTAGAATTAGAGAGAATGTAATATGTAACTCTTGTATTATGATTGTATAATACAGTACTATAGTATCACATGTTTCATGAAATAACTGCTCAAATATGTATTAATTTAGGGAAGTTCTAGTTTTGTTGTCTAGTACAGGGGTCCCCACCCCCACCCCCCCAATCTACGGATGGCACCAGTCTGCAGGATGTCAGAAAATAAGCGAAGCGGGATGCAGGCAGCACACAAAACCATGCCCTTCCTGGTCCACAGAAAAACCTCTCTCCATGGAACCAGTCCCTGTACCCACAAACCTGGGGGATGTTGGTCTAGAATGTTTATGCTGCTTTTGACTAAAGATTTATTTGTATTTTGATTCTAATATCAAAAGTAAAATGTCCCTCAAATCAAGATTGACTCATACATCCATTTTGTGGATTCACACATTCTTCTTGGCAACAATGTGCAAGCAGCAATAATAGACATCTTATTTTAGCCTGCAATCTCATCCTTCATCCAAGTACGCATGAAGACCTGCTATAGGAAAAGGAGTAGCAGATCATGGAGGCAGAGTTAAAAGAGGAATCAGCCTAGAATCCCTACATAGCCAGAAGTAAATTAAGTCTGACCTCTCTTAAATTACATTGACCCATATCTAGCCCCAAATAGGTGTTCATCATTTGCTGAGAAGATTCTTGGCATGATTAGCAGTAAATCAGTTTAATTGCATCTGATTTTTTTGTATGCCTAACACCTACTTAGGTTACTAAGCAAGCTGACTAAGTGTTATACTAAACAAATGCTGTGGTTTGGAAGGAAGATTTATATTTTTGATAATTCCCAGCAGAGATCTTGTATAAAAAGGTGGAACAATAGCTCATTATTTTATGGGTTGACATAAACATCAGCTCCTATCTATGATGCCAAAATTATGATATGTGCCTAGCAATTCTGCCATTCTGCCATTTGTTGTTTTGTTGCAATGTTACATTCAATTATATAAGGGGAAGAATTTTCATATCAATTTCATAACATTTCTTTCCCTACAGATGCTTACGTATGATAAATTCATGAATATCTTCTATATAATCACCGGAGCAACAACAGTGATACAGTACCTATTTTGACAATTCTTATCACACCTTTCTTTATATTCCACAGGAAATCTTTCTTATCTTTTCATCAGTTAGGATTTGGTCATCTGGGTCTGTAATCTATTATAAAGTACTGTGACAGACTGTCAGAAATTGTATCATAGATTATATCAGTTAATACAGTATATTTGCTTGTGGATGTTTATACTTATATAGTGGGTGGGTGAACATGCTGGCTTATAAATTTCCACCTAATAGATTTAAAAAAAAAATCAAACTAGCAATAGTTATTTCCAGAATAACTGCTACAGTTTATGCATTTTTTTCCAGATAATATTTGCACAACCAGGCACAGAGACACAAGAACAAGCAATAATATTTTTCATTAAGATAAGGTATTGCAATCTTACCTTGACTGTACTTGTATAGGGAGTACCTTCTGTCTCACCAGATCAGAAATCTTGGGTTCTCTGCAAGCTAGAAAAAAAAAATACTACACAATATTGTATAATCCTTTTTTCATGTTTCCAGCTCAAATTTATGGTGTCTCTATTACTTCCTGGCCCTATCATAAAGGAATTAAGATAAACAATAAGCAATTCATTAAATGATAGATACTGCATATTTTTAAGAATAATTTTTAGTTCTGTTTTCTTAAACAGAACTAAACAGAGCAAACAAGCCTAAGCTTTAGGTGGTTGCATTTCACAAACCACTGAAATGATGCAACCTACTGCTTCTATACTTAGAGGTCCACATATCTCAATAGGAACAGCATAATTATGCCCTACTGCTGTATATTTATACCCTGGCAATAATCGCCCAGCTGGTCCATGGATTATATATGTCCACTATTAGAAGAAAGAATATTAGATCCAATTATATTTTGGAATGGATGAGACATGAGGTCATTAATAGTTCCACAAACCTCATTCCTTTCTTCTGAAGTCTGATATTTATTTTCATTTTTCATGCTTAATAAATGAGAGCAGAAATAGTGTAACAGATAAACCATTATGAAATTAAGAATTAAACACAATATTAATTCACTTGAAAGGCAAGACAAGCCGCTATATAGTTGTGAAAGATTTTTTAGACATTTTATTTATTAGATTTCTGTCTTGGGTTTCCTTGAAGAGCTCAACTGATCTAAAATTAATATCAGGAAAAATACTTGCTCAACAACAGGATAGTAATTAATATTTATAAAAAGGGGAGGAGCAGTGACTAAACATGTAGCATGACATAACCCACGTTTTGTCCTTTTGTACTGTGTATCTTTGTCATTTGGATCCTGGCTTACTATAGGGTTTCCTGAGGTTAGTAGTTCTAATATGGTTATGCAAAAATATAGAAAGAGTAGTGCTTAGAGGTAGAGTTGACCGATTACAGTGTCCATTTTTATGCTATATTCTTTTTTGTTAGCATTTTATTGTTTTCCTCCCTGCTTTCATATAAATTGTATGGATTCTTCAAAAAAAAAAATACTTCTACCTCTGGCCAGTTTACTTGCAAATCTATGAAAAGATGAATTAGCAATCTGATTCTGTAGATTGTTTCTATCCAGTGACTATAAGCAAGCAATTTTTTCTGTACTGTCCAGCTTCAGCTTAACAGTTCCTTAAATTAGCTTATCCAGTAATTCAGATGGGGGGAAAAATACGATGAAGAGACCAAAGAAGCATTAGACTTCACTTCTATATAGTAGGACAACATCCTTTAAAAAAAAAAAGTGAATGGGCACATTCATAATTTTGAACACATATTGTAGTGCAAAATAGCTGCAAAGTTGCCTTATCTATTCCACAAATCACTGTCAGGGGAGATAGAGTGAAAAACATAGATTCATCTGTTTCTCATTCCTGTTATATTTTATTTCAGATTATTGGAGACAGATACCAAAGCCACAGATGTACTGCAATGAAGTTTTTATTAAAACCAAAACAGATTGAGCCTATTCTGCCTAGCATCACACCTTTTCTTACTATTGGCTCCCTCTTTCTCTTCTGCCTAGCTTCTCCTCCTTGAATAGTTTTCCAATCTGGACTAGTTCTAAACAAATGTTCCTTAAAACTTAGCTTGTTTGCTACAGAATATAACACTTCCTCATCCATCTCTGTTTATCAAATACTTTTTTCTGGGCAGGTAGGCTTATGTATTAGCCAAACTGCTTGGTGCTTTCAAGGTGTTTTAGGGAAATAAGGAGGATACTGAAGGACAACACTTTGTTTTGTACTGTATCACTTTTTCAAAATAAAAAAGACAAATGGTGCACAAAGCTGGACACGAGCCAAGCATGTTTTCCATGGAGACAATTATTAGAGAACCTAGTGCCTGCAATAGACAATCAGGTATTTTTCAGATAATTGGATTCCAATTTTAATAAGCTCCACTCAACTTAATTTATGGTCAGATATTACAAAGGGGATTGGAAAAATTATCTGCCTCTGTATCTAATCTTAATACTCTTGGCATTCATACATTAGTTAGTGTACAGCTTATAAAATATGTAAAATAAATTGCAATCTATTCGGATTGCTTCACACATGTAGAATTTGGGGAATATGTCACTGATGCTTTCAGGAAATGGTTGCCATGGTATCAGTGATACTTATGCCTATCCATGGCAATCAGATAGTATGAGAAGGAACATGGGTGCAGCTGTTCACTGACATCCTATTCATGTTGTAAGATGTTCACAACCAACACCAGTTAACCACTGTGGTTTTTTTCTTTGGCAAACTGAGTTATCAGTATTTTTCTATGGGGCAAATTTTAGATCCTGAAGTATTCTTGAATAGAGAAACAAGAGACTATTAGTTTATTTCCTAACAATCTAGCTTCCTGTTAAATTGATGTTAATTACAGGGATATGGAAGAAATTAAACGAAGTAGGGATTCTAGGGGAATCAACAAAGATTACATCAGTACAATAGGTGCCATAATATATTCATTAAAAAAAGTGTTACAAGTATGAAGTTGAAGTGATGTTATTAATTACCTTTTATACAGATTGGTTGTTTCCCTGACCACTCGCCGTTGGGTTTGCAGGTCCTCTTTTCATTACCGCTGAGAGTATAGGTGTTATTGCAAAAGAATGTAATTACAGTTCCAATTTTTGTATAATGACCATTAATTAGAGCAGTATCATCCATCAGTTTCCTGTACCCATTGAGTGGAGCACCAGGATCAGAACAATTTCTCTCTTCCATAACTAGTAATACAAACAGTTGTTACTGTTATTATCCAAAGTAGAATGCTTTATTGACCATCACATTATTCAATCCTTTATTAATAAAAAAAATGTAATCAACATTTGTTTTGCCATTAATGTTAAGTTAGGAATTTAACACCACATGAACAAGCCATTGGTTTTATTAAAATGTCTTTGGATTCACAGTACTACAAATAAGCTACTTTCAACTATAGCTCCTTTTTTTCTTTAGATTACCATGTTCTAGATCTTTAATACTTGTGGACTTCAACTCCCAGAATTCTTCCTCCAGTCATGTTAGCTCAGGAATTCTGGGAGTTGAAGCCCACTAGTCTTAAACTTGCCAAGTTTGAAGACCCTTGTTCTAGATGCTATTTTTACTTAATTAATTTCTATATTATTTTTCCTCTCAGGCATATCCAGCAATAGGTGAATTCCAAATTTCCAAATCCAACTAATAATTTTTTGCTATAATTTTAATATATAGTTCTAGAATTTTTTTTAGTAATAATTTTCAGAACGTTTGTATTGCGTGGTGCCTTAAGAAACCCCACCCTGAAAAGGAAGCTGCAGATCCAATATTTATTAAGCAAATAAATAAAGAGATCTGTGTTTCATTTTGGAAGTGACAATGCTGCCGGAACAAATTTTCTAGGAACAAATTCAGCCATCAAATTGCAATACTCATAAAACACTCATTCTATTTAATGCTGATTGACTAATATTTAATTCAATTTGAGCAATTAAATTGCAATAAGCTGAAGAGAGCAAGAGAAAAAGCCCACATTTGCCATAGCCCAGATTTAAAGGTCTCCCTTCTGTTCATCAAAGTGTTAAGTTCAAAATACATTTTTGCTTTTTATTTTCTTAGCAATTTCTGGATTTTTTTAAAAAAAGTTGCAATAGAAGAAACACAAGAAGTTCTTACCACATCCAGGATGGTGTGCAGACCAGCTCCCGTTTAACTGACAGTAAGCAACTTGGCTGCCTTTTAAGGTGTAACCTGCGTTGCATTTGAAGGAAACCTGGGACCCGTATTTAAAGTCATCTCCTTCCACAAAACCATGAGCAGGATTACCTGGAGTCCTACACATCACCACTGACAGTTCAGATATTTCAAAAAAATCCACTTTATTACAAAAACAGGAGTGTTTTAGGATTAGTAAGAATGTTTTTAAAATATTACATTTTAAGAATAATAAGAGAGAAGCAAAACGAAGGACAAGTAACTAGTACAGACAATTAAAAAGTATTCAGTAGTGCTGATGTGTCTCTCATCTCTTGACAGCTCATTGTAGCAGCACTTGACTGAAAGCATCAATATACCAGTATGTGCATAAGTGTCTGTAGGGGAGGTGATGGGAAATGATGAAATGTGTATAAGAATGTCATGCTGCAAACCCTTTAACATCTATAGTTCCAGTGTGTGTGTGTGTGTGTGTGTGTATGTGTTGTCATGTTTATTACAGTCAGAGAACCTGAATGACAAACTGCAGACATAATCAAAAAGTTTGGCATAAAATAAGACAACTTGACAAATAAAATAGGCTGATATTTCATAAAGGATCTTAAAAAATTTAACGTTATTAATGTATTAATAAAAACTTTATGTTATGTGCTTTTTAATATTTATTAGATTTTTTTTTTTAGCCTACCTTTATTACTTTGTATGTAACTCAAGGGGATGAATACCACTCAGTACTGTTCATTTAGTGACTGTTTGAAGTTACAATGGCATTGGGGCAAAAAAAAAAGACATGACCGTTTTTCACACACCTGCTGCAGCATCCCCCTGGTCATGTGGTCAAACATGGCAACTGGTTCATATTTATGATGGTTGCAGTGTCCCAGCATCATGTGATCATCTTTTGTCACCTTCTGATAAGCAAAGACAATGGGGAATTCACTTCACCACCATATCTCTAACTTAACAACTGCAGCCATTCGCTTAACAATGAAGACAAAGTCATAAAATGGGGGTAATAAATGCTCTACTTAGCAACAGAAATTTTGGGCTCAATTGTCGTAAATCAAGGACTATCTGTATACATATTTATATTAGGATGCAAGTACAGGCAGTCCTCATTTAGCAACTGCCTCGATCAGTGTCCATTTGCAATTATGACAGTGATAAAAATGCAACTTTGGGGCAGGTGCCTGCATTTATGATCTTTGTGGTGACTCTCAGTTAGGTGTTCATCATTAGTCAGTTAATATGGTATTATGTTGTCCTGTGTCTGCCCCATTTCCCTCCTCTCCAGTAGAGAGGCTATCTAAACAAGATATCTCTTCTTGGACTGCTTTATCTCCACAGCACAGTACCTCCCTAAAAAGTGCTAACTAGAGTAAACAAATGAAGCTTTGTGTACTTAGTTGAGTACAATCCTGCAGCTTGCAGTTGCCACCTGAAATTGACAAGAGCCTAACCAGTGTCAGACTGAAGGCTTTCTTTTGCCTCCCAAATGCTTGTGGCAAGTGTGCTCGGCAAACAGCAGGTGCTAGTGCATTCCTGTTGATTTACTCTCTTGTGATTCATTGCTCTCCAATGAATGCAAACGAAATAAAGAATTATCTTCCAAAAGGCAGTGGGTGAATAAGTTTGCTCTTTTACCCAACTTCTTTGTGAATTAAACTCCAAAAACTTTCACCCAGCTGTTTGGGTGCTTCACCCAGGTGCTCATATTCTTCTTAGGCTATAAGTATTAGGGACAATTTCTTCATAAGCCTTTTTCAAGATTTATTCTGGCATGTCTCTCAGTGTTCTTGTTCTTTGGTCTTCGTTCTGCAACTTCTAAATTAAATCCATACCAAGATGCCCTCAAAGAGGAAGAAGAAACCCAGTTCAGCTGAAGAAATTAGCAAGAAGCAAAGAAAAACTTAAATAAAATCTTATGCACAGTTGCAGTCCATATTATTTTCACTTCACTGTTCTGACCCAGGCTTCGTAAAACTTAATAAAACACAAATGGAATTTAAAAGTAAAACCTTTTTTAATGTGACACTGGGAATTACTTGCATTCCCAGCCAAAACTCATTATACATAGTTTCTCCAGATAACAGCATGCTTTTCAGTGCTGTCGAATGCTGCCAAGAAACAGACATCCAATTAAGGCTTAACATAAACCAACCCCAAACCCCAGAAATAAACTGACCAGAGTACAGAGCTTCAAGAAGGACTCAGAAATTACTGAACTGCTTTGCTTCCTGCAAAGCTTTTTGCCACTGAGGACTGACTTTTATCCCTAATGGGAGTGGCAATCACCTCCCAGCCTTACTCCTGAGTCACCCCTTCTGCTTCAGTTGCTCTCACCTTCTAGCAGCTCTGCGCACACACGCACTGGGAACAAGCTCCCCTTGGTCTTCTGCTTTGCTGCTGCCAGACTCCAAAAGCTCCGAAGGCAGCACCCCATTCTCAGATGGTCCTGGCCTCATCCCTGCATCAGAGGCAGGACCCTCATCCAAGTCCTCGCCAGAACTCCCTGACTGGTTCCCTTTCGTCCTCACTGTCTGATACCTCTGCCATCTGCACCGACTGCCAGAGAACCATAATATTCACTCAAATGCAACTGCAATCACTAAATTAAGACTACCTGTACAAAAATGTGAGAGTTTGCATCGTGACATAGGTTCCCTCAGCTTTTCATTACTGAGATCTGTACTGGGACTACGTGGGTAACCATGCTGTTACTTCTGCCATAGTTCCTTTTCTCTAGTCAGGCATTTCAGTTAAATGCCAGGTGCCCTAACAGCACCAAAGATTTTTTTAAAAAAATGCTAATTACTTATAACTATTCATTTTAGATTATTATAGGATAGTGATGATATCCCTGAGATTAAAAAAAAGTACCCTTTGCAGTTAAATGAAAAGTATCTTTGGGTGATTCAGAAAAAGTGGGGTTTAAAGATTTAAACACTTCCTTGAAGTGTTTGAACAATATTTGGAATATGAAATAATATGTGAGAAGGGGATTCAAATCATTCACTCATCTTTCCCTTGTTAAACTAAAATATCAGTTGAAAGAGAACAGAGTAACCACATGCCAGAAATAAGTTTTTAGCATGGTAAGGCTAAGGCTTTGTACTTAGCTAAGGCTTTGTACTGTTGCCTTATCAAAACACTGTATAATAAGTAGAATCTTCACTATATGACATATGGAAGATTATGATCTAGAATATAAGTGATGTAATATAAAATTGTGGAGCATATGAATTAACAAAGGAATTGAAGGAAATATAACTTAAACAGGAAGCTGTACAGTATTGAGTAAAGATAGTCTAATTATTTTGTTAAATTATATGAACAAATGGGTGGAACAATTGAAAAAGTTCAGAAAATGTTATCGGGCCATTCAGAAATCCACAATAAATGATAACAGTGATTGGCAATTATCTGTTTAGAAAAAGGTCTGCTTGTTTGAAGTACATGACTCAATTATAAATCCATTCATTCTTGTTTCACATGCACACACACACAAAGTAAACAAAACCTAGATGTTGGAGATGACCAGGCTGAGCCTGAGGGAGGGGTCAAATGTATCATTAGTCATGAGTCTCTTCACATCCACAAGATCCAAGTCCAGACCATTTTGAACTCCATTGACGCTTATGGAATAATAGTTCAGATTTTTGTGGAGAGCTCTAGCTTGCAATACATCTTTGTATCCATTTTAACTGCCTGGAAGTTCTGATTTACCTGACACTTGACACTAAAAAGGTTATTTTTTTGATCATGGTATAATATTAAAAAAAATGTTAAAGATCAGTTCTGAACTTGTGAAAAGTTCTGAATTTGTGACAAACTAGGTTTTAGCAGCATTAGCAGAAGTTCTTTGGGGAAAATAGACACTGAAGTAAACAAAATGAAAGCAGTGATTTTAGAAATAATTACAGTAAGATGCAGGTCTTGTACAGAAAAGCATTACAAGAAGGATTAAGCTTCTATGGAAGCTGCTTGAGAAACGTGATTTGATTTTACCACAAAGTGCCAGAGGACTAACTAGAAGTATGACAACACTTAGAGGAATGAAGACATGAAAGACTATGAGTGACAAAGGAATGCATGTAAGAAACAGATTGCTGCAAAAATGCGGATATGTATAATGTATACAGAGATAAAAAGACAGCCTTCAAATAATGCACTCAAAGGCATTAAGGAATGGGTAAGATTTAAAAAAGAAGGGAAAATGCAGAGTGAATGGAATTCCACACAGTAATTGAAATAAAAAAATAAAGCAGTGAAATTATCTGGGATTAAACTGAAGTGAAAAAAAAACTGGAGTAAATTTTTTAGCTATTTGTATGGAAATAAAAGTGCTATGTCTCAGAGCAGAATGAAGCAGAAATTTATATGGAGTTTTTTAGGAGTGTGTGTGCTTGCATTTTTGAGTCAAGGGGTTTGGGGCATGTAATTTCAAGTCAATCTTGACATCCTGGCAATTAGGCGGACAAGTTGAAATGCAATTTTTTGGACATTTTTCAGCAGAGGTTTGCTCTTGCCTACTATCCTAAGCCAAGAGAAAATGCTGTTCAACACCACTCTGCTGGCTTCATGTCTAAGGCAGAATTAAAACTCACAGCTATCCAGCTTCTTTGGTCCAGCAGTTTCAACCATTACACCTTATTAATGTTCAAGAAAAAAATGATGAAGTGAAATGAATACTGTGAGAATGTTTTAAAAATGGTGAAACTATAAGTAGAGCTGGTGCAAGTGGAGAAATATTAAAATGTGGGTGTGGTTTATTTACAGATTTCCTGTATGAGTTATTTAATATGTAAGTGAAGTCTGTAGTTGTGCCTGGCATTTGGAAAACTATCATCATCATCATCATCATCATCATCATCATCATCATCATCTATAGAAAGAAAGTGATAACAAAAAAATAATATAAAAGCTGCAGGAGGATTAAGTATGCCTGGAAATGGCTTTCATAGAACTGTAGTCAAAAGGGTCATGAGACAATCAGCAACATTTGGGGAAGGGCGATTCAGCTTTTGGGAGCAAATTAGACTTTTGCTTTTCAACAGATTATTAAGGAATATACAAATCTGAGAAAGAACATTTAATGTATGTTTGCTGATTTAGAGAAAGTGTATGATGAA